CCCCCCCCTACGTTGACCCCGTCACGCATTTTTCTCCCTCCTCCCCCGCCTTCCGCGGTTTGTCTTTTCCGATCGAGCACGATTAAAAGGACTCTCGTTGTCTTATTGTATTATTGTACCGGTTTTTCCTTCGTCTCTATCCTCGAGTCATTCGCGAATGACGAATAACATTTGCAGGAACGCGTTCCCTCCTAGACTAGAGATAGATACATAGATAAATACAGAGAGAGAGAGATGGATATATATTTACCTAGATAAATAGAGAGGAGGAGAGAGAGAGAGAGGAGAGTACATTCGGAGCGTGCAAAGATGATGTGATGCGTCTTCATAGCGGAACAGTTCACTTCGAGATGGAAAAATAGAAAAAAGGTGTGGAAACGTGGTCCAATTCGGCATCCTCTCGCGCCTGTTTTCTTTTTTCTCGATGCTTTTTTTCCGATTCTCAAATTCGAAGAGAGAGAGAGAGAGCGTGTTTTAAATCTTCGTGGCTCGTCCCGCAAGCCTGTTTCACAATGTTCCCTCGTTTGCGCGCCCGTTTAACGAGTTCGAACGTAACACCTCGGTAACCGATACTTTCGGGGAGAGGAACGAGTTGCTCGAGTACCGGGTGTTTCGAAAGAAAAAAAAAAAAAAAAAAGAAAGGAGAGGGGAAAGAGAATTTCTTTTTGTTAAANAAAAAAAAAAAAAAAGAAAAGAATGCTCGTTCGATTACGAATTTACGCGTGTTTTTTAAAGCGACATCCGGTGTTACACTAACGGCGAGCGTGCAATTTGCCAAGCCTTAACCACCGGTGTGGAAAGTGGCACGTTCGGGGGGACTAGGATAGTACCGAGCACCGGTGTGAATCTGGTACAAATATAAATATATCCTCCTCTCTCTCTTCAGAGAGAGAGAGAGAGAGAGAGAGAGAGAGAGAGAGAGAGAGAGAGAGAGAGAAAGAGGATTCTCGTAACCCGAAACCGCCCACATCCTTTGAGAAAGGCTCGCGACGACGAGGGGCCGGTTGCTCTTTGTTCAAATCTTGGTTCGATCCGCGCGCTTCTCCCTCCATTTCGACACGTTGATTCGAAAACAAACGCATCGACCGAAAGATGGAATGGGGGGGAAGAGAAGGGGATCGAGATCGAGATGGAGATTTTCGACGCGCCACCGTGTATAAGATCCCGTGTCCGGTTGGTTCGTCTGTCCGTACATCTGCGAACTGGAGCACCAGCCTCCACGTCGATCACGATTCGCGGTTATCGAGGTACACCGCAAATTCGATCTCGAGCAGGTATCGTTTTTCACGGGGGAGCGGGGAGGAAGGGGCCGGTTGCGAAACGGATAAATTCGACGAGGCGCGTTGACATCCTGTAACCGACACCTTTTA